GGGGGGGGGGCGGAGAGATGAGGGAATCCGGGCGAGCGAGCGAGTGAATTAGAAAGGAGCGGAAAAGAAAGCGAGCAATTCAGGGCAAGTTTGGAAGGAGAAATGGGAGCCTCAACCGTCCATCTCCCCGACGCTCTTTCCCGTTCCCCCTTTCATAATGAAAAGTTGAGCCCTGCCTTTCTCCCTCGACCAGCGTTCCCGCCCGGCAGGCGTCGAGCGTGGAGCAGAGCTCGTTCGCCAGGAAAAAGCAACGGAGTGCGCCTGCGGAATCCCGGTGGGGTTTGACTCGAATCAGTGTCAGGAGTCAAGCGACTAGCGATCGGAGGTAATTAGACCGCACACCATTTTTCCACGTCTTGCTTCCTCCCGCCCTGCAGTACAGTGCCTCTCACACTGCGTTTGGCGTCTTCTTGCCGCCTCTGGCTGGTTGGCTCGTTCCCGTTTTTGCGTTTTACCCTTTGCGGAGCCAGCCCTAGCACTGGATGCACGAAGACGCGGCTTCGCGTGTCATCCCGGACCGGTGGCAATCCAGGGCCAGGCACCGAGGCACTGCCCTTCCAATTCGCCACCCGGAGCATTCAGAAATGGGTCGGAACGGTCACCGCCTGCCCTGCTGACTGCCTGCCCGGCATCGGTCCGAGAGGGTCCTCAGAATGAAGCCTTGTGAGGACCGGGGGGAGGGGAGAAACGTTGGGCGACGCGATGGGGCAGCAGCTGGCGGCCAGAGGGTGAGTGGCAGCGGAGCTGCGGCCAGTGAAGGGGTGTGAGATGGCAGAGGGCGAGCGAGATTTCCGTGTGAAGCAAATCACACTGCAAACAGGGGGACTGTGCCGTGAACGGAGGAATGCACAATCTTCCTCCCACTAAGACCCACATTCCCAGTGTGGGATCCATCCCAGTCCATCAAACTTCCCCTGCACATTGTCTAGCGCCTCCACCGTGTCCTGCTCCATCCCCACGAATCCCCTTTCCCAGACCCAGTGGCGCTGTCACACATTCTGCTGACCCTTCTAGCGGGGAGGAGGATGGGGGAAGCGGTGGATCTTCCGCAACTCTCAGGCAGTGCCGAAGAGATACTTATAAGGAAGTCAGCGGGGCAGCTGGTGCAAAGCTTCCTTTGTGTAGATCTGGATGAACCGCTGGGTTAGTTTTTGCACTAGTCAGCTTCGTGTCCGTCCGGTCCAGAAGGGGCTGGTGGGGAGATAGTTCTAAAGTGTCAGTAATGTGTCTTTCCCGGCGTTTCAAGCGAAGCAAAGCTGGGCAAAACACTTTCCATTGGCTGCGAAAGTGCTTAGAGATATGTGATGGCTCTGTGTGTGTGTGTGTGTGTGTGCATGTGCGCGCGCGCGTGTGGCTGGGTATTTAAAAGAACTGCTGCATGTTTTTTGAACATAAAAATATATATATATTGATATCCCCCTCCTTTTCCCCAATGCATGGCCAAGCAAAGAACCAGTTGCATCTCGATGGTGCAAAGAATTCCAGGTCCTAAATCATTTTGTAGTAAAGGAGACTGGCCCCAGCTTCTCATGTCAGGGCTGGTGTGTTACATGTTTTCCCATCAGGAACTGGACTTGCTCCTAGTTTCACAGATCTTCCATCCCACAATTATGTTGGTTCTACTAGTGAACTTCATGTCCAGCTAGACAGCTAGTAAGACAGAAGAAGGTGAAGGACTGTAGAATCTAAAGGAGTCTGAGGATCCAGAGTCTAACTACAGTGGTACCTCGGGATATGAATGCCTCTACTAAGTACGTCTCAAGTAAAATCAGGGAGGGCTGAATTAATACAACATTCACTTTAATAAGCATTTCACAGCTTCCATCTGCCACAATTCCTGATAATTTGTAATAGTACCTTGTGTCTCTGTCCGCCCCCCCCCCCAAAACAATTGGTGAATCTATCCTTTCCCTGTTTTTTTTTTGTTTTTTTGTTTTTTTGTTTTTTAATCCTGATTAGATTGTAAAGCAGGATATTTGTTTGCTTTGCCCTTCATATTCTTGCCATGTTTTTCCTGCACCTGACTGTAGGATTTTGGTTATTTTTATTTATTTATTTTTTCAGCTGTCAAACTAAGGAAAATACAGATTTCCTCCTAAAAAGAAATGGAGGAATCAAGATAGAAATGAGAATAGGAGCAAATAAACCTTTTAAAAAACTGGCAAAAAGCAAGAAAGGCAGAGAAGGGAAGACACCCACAACTTCCTTAAGATGAGCTATCTGGCTCTTACTCAACATTCTTTATTTGGGCTCTGTTAAAATTATTTCATCTTTGGAAAAAGATATGAGCCTGGAACAAAAAAAAAGAAAAAAGAAAAAAAGTGGGAGTTTAAATGGATGTATTTATGGGGGAGGGAATGTCTGAGAACTGAATAGGAAAAGTAGAACAGTCTTTTGCCATATTTGTTTTAAGGGCTTTATCTTCCTCTCTGTTTCTCTCTCTGTTTCTCACACACACACACACACACCTCTGACTCCCTGCTTTCCCTTTGCCCTAGGAAGAGATAACCTAAAAAGAAGGATGTGCATCAGTCTAAGGTTATTTGCTGCTGTCGGGAGTGCCTACAAGTCCTTTTCCTCCACAAGGGACAATACTATAAGCAGTCTTGCTGCATAACTGTCTAGTTCTCGTTTTTATCTCTTGCTTCCTGGAAAAATGAGACTTCACCCTTCTGCAGCCTGGCAAGAGGAACCTTGCAGTTTTACACTGTATGATGGGGAGGGGGGAAGGACAGAGAAAAACTATGCTTCCCATGATAGGGTTCTGTGACAGTCACCATGTGGAAGCTGTAGCTCTCTTTGATGAAAAATGCTTCTTAAAGATACATGGATGGAAGGGGGAGACTTTCTTAGTCAACTGCATTAACCCTGAATTTTTATTTTGTGGAAAGGCTTCTGTATAACTTCTAAACATTGCAGGCCCAGCAATTTTCATTCCAGAACATAAACATTAATTCCTTATTCCATAATAAGACAATGCCTGGAATTTCAGCTGCATCCTGTTCATTTCCTCATTGCTGTAAGCTTGCATGGAGAAAAATCAGGAAAGTGGAGCTGGATTTCTTAATTTTTTACCTGAAATTTAGAAAGCACTTACCACCAACCAATAAGCAGAAGTAGAATCAGTGAAACTATTCCCTTCCCATTTGCAGGGCTCTTTACCAAGGCCATGCTAATGTGTATTCCTCTAATCCTTGAGTTAGCAAAAAACAAAACAAAAAAACCAGCATGTTGGTATAAGACAGTGTCGTCCAAACTTGGCCACTTTAAGATGAGTGGACTTCAACTCCCAGAA